GGGTCTCCCCGTGTATCCTCAGTGCCGGAGGCCTCGCCACATCTCCTTATCTGCCTTAACCCTTAGTGGGCATTTTTACTTATAGTGTAAAGAATGTACCCAGTATGTAAATGACTTGTATAAGTCCTTTGTATAGTCATCTGTCAGAGTATAATAAAGTATTAACCGTGACGAGCCACAGCGAGGCCACACCTGTGCATGGTGTTGAATGGAAGTGCCCCGGGTGTGCGAGGCGTGTGCGCCGGTGTGTGCATGCAGGGGTGTGTGTGTGTGTGTATGTGTGTGGTCTGCATGTGCAGGTGTGTGCATGTGCCTAAGTGTGTGTGTGCACAGGTATGTATTGTGTAGGTCTGTGCATGTACATGTGCAAATGTGTGTGCATAGGTGTGTGCGTGTAAGCGTGATGCTGTGTGGGCCTGTGTGTGTTTATTTGGGAGTTTGAAGAGGATTGTTCATGGATTTGGTTGTAAATCTGTTTTGCCTTCAAGAATATATTTTTAAATTTCAGGCCAGAGACTTCGGAAAAACCTGATTTGGGATTTGGAGAACTTAGTCATAGTGTGCAACGTGATCACGGGTGCCGGCAGGCCCTTGATGGGACTCGCCAGGTGTCTCCGAGTTGGGCACTGAGCTGAGTGTGGAAAGCCTGGTGTGTGCCCATTTCATCGACAGGTGTGGGGACAGGCGCAGCTCACCCCTGGCTCTCCGGGGCTGGCAGAGTCTGGCCCCCCGTCCTGGAGACTGCCCTCCTGAGTTTGGCGGTGGGACCACAGGGCCTCACGCCCTCATTCCCTGGGTGTCCTAAGCTTGGAGTGGGTCTGTCACAGCAAGACGCAAGGTGGCTGCTGGGTGCCTCGGCCTACGTCTGTGTCACCCAGGCCCTAGGGGGTGGGTGGTCACTGGGTCACACTGGGCCCACCTTCCTGACCCACGCAGGCCCTGAGGAGCATGCAGCAGGACACGCAGATCGCGTTCTGAGCCACAGCGGAGGTCTATCCTCTCTGGGCAGGCCGCACGGTGTCACAGACTGTCAGGCGCCTGGATTCTGGCAGCCCGGCGGGCATAAGGACGGTGACACAGACACTGGACGACGCCTCCTTACCAAGGGCGTCTGAGCACACACTGTGCGCTCTGCCTGAGGGCCACCTCCCTGCTCATCCAGCAGCCGCCCTAGCACAAACCCAGAGGCCTGGCGTCCCCCGGGCCAGGACACAGCCAGCTCCAATCACCCCAGCGGCCCAGTCTGCAGACAGCCCTGGCCAGCGCCGGGCGAGCTGCTTCTGGTCACCTCGCTCAGCTGCAGCAGCAGCTCCTGTAATTGAGGACACAGACGAGTTAGGTGACCTTAGCTGCTGGCAAAGGAGCAGGCGTGGTGGTGGCCGGGGGCCCGTGCCCACTCAGGGTTGGGAAGGTCTGGCGGAGTCGGGACCCAGGCCCGGGTGAGAATGGAGGGTGAGGTCTTCACGGCTGCCCTGTTTTTGGTTTGGTTTTGTCGCAGGCAGCATGGAAGGTTGCGAGGGGGAACTCCGCTGCGTCGGAGCCTGCGCCCCCGTGCGCCCCCGTGCGCCCCCCTGCGCCCCCGCTGGGCTCCCTCCTCCCTCCCGCTTCTGGCGGGCGGGATCTGGCTCCGGGCCTGGCGCGCCCCCGGCTGGGATATCGTGGGCAGCAGCGTCCCCTGGTGGCCGCGAGTCTCACTGCCACAGTGCGGAGCCGGCGCCGGCCGTGCCCGAGGCAGCCGCACGCAGCGCTGTCACCGTGGGCGGCATGGGCGCTGGAGCCCCGTTATCTGCCGCGAGTCGCCTGTGACTTTGACTGGGACCCGGGCCCTTCCCGCAGCCTGGGCAGGGTGCGACAGAGCCTGCCCCTGACCACGGCCGGGGCGTGGCCTTGAAGTCACGTGACCCCCGCTGAGCCCGCGAGTGGACGGTTGACTCCCCCTGGGTCCAGGTCCTGGGGGGCCACTGCCGTCCTCCGGCCACACCCCCTACCCTGCTGTCGCTGAGGGATGTCCCCGCGCCCCCAGCTCTGCCCTGTGACCTCGCGCGAGGACACCACAGTGGACGGCCCGGGAGGAAGGCGCCCGGCAGCGAGATGGCCGCTGTGCCTGAGCAGCCAGGTTTTCCCTTCACTCGTGTTTTCAGAAACGGCCGTAGTGCTGGAGTCGCTCAGCCGGGGACGGCCCTGAAGTCGGCTGTCCGGCCAGCAGGGGGCGCGCGCCACCGCGGAGTCGCCGGGTCCGGGGTCCGGGTCCGGGCTCCGGG